TAGACAGGGTCACTGACCCTGTCACATGCAGTCTCTCCACCAAAGGGAGAAGACTGGGAGATAAGCAGCCAAACACTGGAAAACAGGATGCTTTCTGAGAAGGAAACCATAGTGGGCAGTGGTGGCGCACGCCTTTAATCCCAGCACTTGGGAGGCAGAGGCAGGCAGATTTCTGAGTTTGAGGCCAGCCTGGTCTACAGAGTGAGTTCCAGGACAGCCAGAACTACACAGAGAAACCCTGTCTCAAAAAACCAAAAAAATGAAAAAAAGTCACCTGAGGAGTGGATCCCCGGATGTGACACAATAGAGAACAGTTAAAGACCCTGCCTATCAGAAGAAGGTCAAGTGGTCTCCAATGAAGCTCAGAAAAGGGACAGCCACAACCATGTAGTAGGCAGGCTCTGTCCACCTGCCAGGAACAGAGTCCTCCAAGTAACAAACGGGCCTGGGCCTTCTAGGCTGTCTCCTGACAAAGGAGCCTGCACTGCCGTGACCAAAGCTATATTGGAAAGCATCTTTTTCTGGGTGCTTTCTAGGGTTCCTGGAGTTCTGGTCATCAGAGGATGGGGGAGGGGACAGAGTAGAGCAGTTCACACCGCAGCGACCAGGAAGCAGAAAAGAAAGCTAAAGGAGGCAGCAAGGGGGAAGCCTCCAAGAGTAGGCTCCTCGTGACCTCCCTTCACACCCCATTGATGCCACTGTCACCTGAGTCCATCTTGGGAGCAGATTATCGTCGGTCAGCTCAGAGCAGCGTGGATCCCATCATGTCTGGAAATTCGGAGCATACACCAGAAGAGGGCTTCTCTGCTGTCACAGCCCCCTCTGGGACCTCAGTAGAGACACCAGGAGGTGAGTCCCACACTGGGACTCATCTTCTCACCACCGGGCTCCTGTCCAAGCCTCTGAGCCACCAGCCACTCCAAACCTCACATCACTATGCATGTAGGGGACTGGACAGAGGTGTATTCGCCGAAGAGGAAGCTGGAGAACAGAATCTGAGAATAAGGCCAGAGTGTGGGGCCCGGGGCCCAGTGAGGAGCTGAACACAGATGGACAGGAACCATTGGAGCCAACTGTGTTGCTAGGTAGGAAGATAGTCAGGAAGTGCTGCTTAAGAAGCATCAGCCTTAGCCGGGCGGTGGTGGTGCACGCCTTTGATCCCAGCACTTGGGAGGCAGAGGCAGGCGGATTTCTGAGTTCGAGGCCAGCCTGGTCTACAGAGTGAGTTTCAGGACAGCCAGGCTTACACAGAGAAACCCTGTCTCAAAAAACAAAGCAAAACAAAAAACAAAAACAAAACAAAAAAGAACAAAAACAAACTCACAGGTAAAGGATAAAAAGCAGCTTCAGCAGGCTATAGACCAAGCTGTCCATGTGTGATCACCACATGGGTCTCCATAAACCTGAATAAACTAAGCTGAAAGTGTAGTGCCAAAGCCACCCTGGGCACACTGCATGCGCCTGCATCCGTGTGCGTCTGCAGCTATGGAATGGGTGCTCCCACATACAGAATGTCTGCTAGGCCACGCTGGAGCTTTAAGATGTGACAGTGGTGACAGGTGTCCGTATTGCACTGATGTGTCATGCTTAATAACAGAGCATCAGAGACCATGTGATGGCCAAAGGACGAACTCAGAGAGGTTTTTTCGAGGCAGGAGGGCACATTCCACGTGTTACAAATCTGAGGACACTGGGCTTTTGATGCTGTCCCCGGGGGTACATGGTATCTCTATTATTATCCATACTTTATTTTACTTATCTGTAGTTTTAGATGACTGTATAGAAGGCGAGCCGTGAGGAAGACTACCGTTTAGACAGACAGAAGCAGCGTGTAGTGGTTCACACTTGGAATTCCAGAACTTGGACGTAGGAGGATTGGGAATTTGAGGTCATCTTCAGTTACATAGTGAGTGTGAGGTCAGCCTGGGCTACATAAGACCTTGTCAGGAAAACAAAACAAAAAACAGGTCACAGACAAGGGACGAAAATGGAGGACTGGAGGAAGGGCTCTTTGGGGACATCTGACCCTTCAACTCCTCTAGTCTTCATATTCTTCTCTGGTCCCCAGTACCAGCTGTCAGTAGTGAGCTAGCTCTGGCCACTCACACACACACACCTTCGCAGGCTAGCCCTCTGCAGTGGCACACACTCCACTCTGGGTCTCCAGGCACAGCAGTGTCCGACAAGTGACCCTCTCCACTCCCAGCTCCAGAACCAGGCCCGATAACACTTCTTGTAGAAGGTGGCTTGTCACTTTGTCACATCTGTGTTGGGAGGCCTGGAATAGTCCTCTTCCATCAGTCATTAATCTTCGCCCAGACAGGAAGCCAGCAGTGCAGGAGTCCCTGGAGGCCTGGCCCAGGTGCCCTGTCTCCCTGCCAAAGACTATGGACACGTCTGAGGATGGCACGTCAGAGGAAAAAAGGGCCTCTGCCTGCATGGTGCTGTGAGGGGCAGACCCTACTTAAGATTTGGGGCTATCTGGGCAGCCAGCTTCTTCTGGGAGGGGTTCAGTCTTCTAGGGGGTCCCAGGTGAGAGATGACGCCCTGCCCATCAGACACACCTCTATCCAGGAACCGGGAATGCAAAACCTGGATGGCCCCAGACCCCTTTGTGTTTTCTGAGGCCCCCGGAAGTCGTCCACTCCGTCCACCATCTCATGATACCTACGACATACCCAGTGCCAAACTGTGGACAAGCACAGGTTGAGGGGCAGTTGGCCTGCTCCGCTGGGGAGTGACAGCAGGGTTGGAGCCTGGTGGGTGTGTCTGGAACTCTCCTGACATACTCCCCTCCATTCTTGGAGCACACCTTGCCTCCTGGATAGCCAGCTCCTGCTCCTCAGCCTCTCCCACTGGCTCCTTCCTCCACACCTCTCCTTGTCCAGGCTCTCAGGCTCTTCTCCTCTCCTGGCTACCTACCGAGTCATATTTCAACCCACCGCTCCTAGTTTGAAATGAGTTCAGTCATTTTAACTATTTTTCTTTTAACGACACTAACCTCTGCCCACCTGATTTCGTGGCGGCGATCTGCAGTGCTGGGGATCGAATCCCATGGCCTGACCTTGAACCCCAGCCCTTGCCTGAGTGGCTTCTTAGATCAGATTTATACGTGACCATCTCCCTTAGGGAATCCTCCAAAGGAGAAGCCCTGGGCTCTTTCTTTCACTCTAGGAGAGGATATGAATGTTACACCGTGCAGAGTATTCTGAGGTATAGACATCAAGGGTTCCAGGAGGAGGCCTGTGCTCCACAGGAGACAGATGTGGGGAGTCACCTCCCATGGTGACTCTCTTGCCCGGGGATCCACCCTGTCTGGCACCATCTCAAGATGGCCATTCAGAGAGGCTGCTAGAACTGCTTCTGTGAGGAAGAAGAACCATGAGATCCCTACAAGTAGGCACAGTCACCCACACAGTCCTCCATTCGCAGCGAGCTGACAAGAGAAGTGCAGGCAGTGGCTGTAGTGCGGTTATGAGCAAGCAAGGGCCTGCCCGGGTGGTGGTGGTGTCAGCACACGCCTTCAATCCCAGCACTTGGGAGACAGAAGCAGACAGATCTCTGTGAGTTCAAGACCAGCCTGGTCTACAGAGTGAGTTCCAGGACAGCCAGGGCTACACAGAGAAATCTTGTCTCAAAAAACAAACAAAACAAAACAAAGAGCAAGCAAGGATCTAGCTCAACAGAGAAGGCTACGCCAAGCACAACTCCACACAGCTTGAGCTGCTGTTCAGGTCACTTGTGGAGTGGACGTCTCTGCCTGGCCCCATTTCCAACATCCCTTTCTGTGTGTCTGTTTAAATTCTGTTCCTTCTTAAGCTGTGCCTCTCCAGCACTCACAAATGTGTGTGCCACCAGGGACCTCAATTCCATATGTCATGGTCTCCTGAGAATATTTAAAAAAAAAAAAAACAGAGGAGGAGGAGGAAGAAGAGGAGGAGGAAGAGGAGGAGGAGGAAGAGGAGGAGGAGGAAGAGGAGGAGGAGGAGGAAGAGGAGGAGGAGGAAGAGGAGGAGGAGGAAGAGGAAGAGGAGGAGGAGGAGGAAGAGGAAGAGGAGGAGGAGGAAGAGGAGGAGGAGGAGGAAAAGGAGGAGGTGGAGGAGGAGGAGGAAGAGGAGGAGAAGGAAGAGGAGGAGGCAGGGCTGGAGAGATGGCTCAGTGGTTAAGAGCACTGGCTGCGCTTCCAGAGGTCCTGAGTTCAATTTGCAGGTTTACATGCAGATAGAGCATTCATATACATTATATATATATAAAATTTTGGAAGGATAACAGCAAACCTGGGCAACATAATGAAGAACTCACCTGAGGCAATTGAGAGACCTCCATACCCACCCGTTCCTCCCCCACCCTCCGACTTCTTTCTTGTTCCTGTGGATAGTCCTAGTCTTATTTAGAAGGCTCTAAAGGGGCTGGAGAGATTGCTTAGCAATTAATGGTACCTGCTCCTCTCGCAGAGGACCCGGGGTGGGCATTTAACGTTGCCGTCACGACTCAGTTTACCGCAAACACCGCAGAGGGCAGGACCTACAGATGGAGGCATCTAGACACACCATCTCTCCCTCCTTGCTCTCTTTCTGTGGTACTGGCAGCTTCCTCTTACTCAATCCTGTAGGAGCAGATCTGTAAGGTTCCTTCTTTGTCCCATCCTCTCTACACTTGGTGGGTGTGAGCTGGGTGCCACAGCCCTGCTCTGCTGCTGCCTCTGGGATTGTGTCCCCCAAGGATCTGTCCACCTCAGGAGGGACCATGGAGCTCGTATAGCCTTTGGCCTGAGCCCCCGTTACTGACAGAAAAGGAAGCTGTGGCCAAGGACTCCAGGGGAGTGGATTCTACTCTGGTCCAGACCCAAGGCACCCAGCCCTCCTGGAGACATTGTGCGAGCCGGGCCGGGCCTCCAGACACAGCCCCTGCCGCCCCACCCCAGCCAGGGTGGTGCTTGTGTGGGGAGGACTTTAAGTCCGGCTGCCAGACCCCTGATCGGGAGAGGCAGAGAGGGCTGGCCACCATGCACAGCTCCTCCAGCCCGTGGGTGATGCTGCCTCCGCAGCGTCTGCTCCTCCTCCTGCTGCTGCTGCTGACTGCCGCTGGCCCCACCTCAGCCCTCACAGAGGATGAGAAGGAGACCATGGTGGAACTTCACAACTACTACCGTGCCCAGGTGTCCCCACCGGCCTCAGACATGCTGCAGATGGTGAGTGTGACTGGGTGCCCGCCTCCTGCGACTGAAGGGGCGAGAGGCTAGGCCTGCCACAAGCCCTTTTCCTCACCTCCCTGTAGGGATGCTCTCTCAAGACTCCTTCCTCTGGTCAGTGACAGAGTCCCTGGTGCTGTATAATGCACTGGTACCCATAATCAACCCCATCTACTACAGGAAACCGAGGCTCTGAGGGAACTTGCTCAGGATTTAAACCCCGGCTCCCCACACCAGTGGCCTCCTCCTCAACTCTTCTCAAGATGGGCTAGCCTGGAAGGGAAGAGGAAAAGACAGATGAGCCCAGAAAACACTGGCGAGGGTTAGAACAAGCCTCAGAAGGGTTTTGGGGCCCACAGTTCAGGTGTTCCCTCCAACACCTGGCCTCATTTGGGTCGTATCCTGTAACCATGTGGACTTTCTCATCTCTTCTGTCTCATATACTACACGCAGTATAATATAAAAACCACACATATAACACACACACACACAAACTATCTACACAGCAGTAAGAGGAACGCACAGACAACGGAGGCCGACGGGTGCCGGTGGCCAATCTGGCGGAAAGAATATTATCAGATGACAGGGTTGAGGCAGGATGTCTGCTCCGGTTCCCGCTGACAGAGTTAGAATCCCTCCCTTTCTGTCCTCTCTGAAGTCTGACTGGCCCACCCCACCCACACCCCTACCCCCACCCCATCCCCAGACACCCTCCAGCGGCCAGGACCCCTTGAGCTAAGAGTCACACCTGGGAAATACAACAGGGAACCTGGGATCCCGACATTTAGCTTGTAGCCTCAGCTTGTCCCCTGTGGCTAGGTGACTCTGAGGGGAGCCTTTTCCTGGTGGACAGTTAGGTACGGACATCCCTGCCCTACAGGTCAGACAGGATGACTGTTGAGACATGCTCACAGCATCACACCCGTTGTCCTTGGCAACCAGGAACTGCAGACAAATCAGAAGCCAGAATACTACTTAGCAGTTCAGCTGCCCAGGGTGATTTTGTTCAAGGTGTTCCCCACCTTGCTAGCCCACAACACCGAGCACTGTGACAGATAGAGATTATGCTACTTCCTGTCCTAGAATGCGGCCTCTCTGTCTATCCCAGAGCCCGCTAGACCTCCTGATCCCTGTTTCTGCTCCCAGCTGCCTACTATCGTCAGAGTCTAGGGGACCGCCCAGACCGGTGATTTGAAACAAAACGGCCAGAGCCGGGCCAGCCAGGTGTTCATCAAGACGTTTGCCCAAGCAAATCTGATGAACTGAGTTCCCTCCCCAGAGGCTGTCAGGAAGAATACTCTCCAGAAAGCTGTCCTCTCGCCTTCATGCAGGCACTGTGAGGCATACACCTGCATTCACACATAAAAGTGAGCGCATAATTAATTTTTAAAAAAATGACCAGAGAGAGAACGAGAAAGATTCATCAAGGCCCAGTTCAGGGTCCCACGAGGGTTCCAGGAAGCTACAGCACTGAGTAGGTGGGAAGTGGGCGTGGTCATACAGTTCACCCCAAGCGCCTGCTGCTGCTTTTGGTGGGGCTGTCCGGCTGGGGTGGGGAGGGCTGCTAGGGGGGCAGACGCAGAGGTTGGAAAAAGAGCCACGGTAGGCATCCACTTTCAGGAGAGGCCGACAGAGTTTAATGGGATCCAGGTCTTTCTCCGTAGTCCTTGGGGTCAGAGGCCTTAAGTTCCTCCTCCCGTGCTCCGTCTTCTCCCAGCCATGGAGGCTCTCTAAGCAAAACTGCTCGTCCCCGGTCTCACCCGCGATGAGACAGACTGGAGAATCTGGGGTTGGGGGTTTGACAGCGCTGGTTTAGGTAGGGCTCTGATGCCTGGAAGTGAGACAGCTTTCTCCTGGGAGGAGGGACCGGATGAAGGGAGTTGAGCCCTGAGGGAGAGCCTAGGCAATGAGGAGGCAGCCAGGTGTTGATGCACTCACGGGTCCACCAACATTTCCCTGGACAGCTTCAGATGCCCGAGCAGTTCAATCAGCCCAGTGTGCATCTCTGCCTCACCCCCAGCTAACACAGGACACACAAAGATCACAACTGACATCAGTCCTCTGTCCCCGCCCCCATGCCCTGTGAAGGGTAAGAGAGGAACCCCAGGGTCTGAGGTGGCACTCTTCCATCGCACTGAAACCCACGGGGAACAGATTCCGGTGACAAGCCAGGAGTCACCTTGCTAGAGGGGGAGCGTGGTACAGCAAGCCCATCTCTGGCCTACTGAGGTTTCAAGACACTCCAGCCTACTTTAGCCACCCTCACCTCCCTGTCTTGCCTCCCTTGCGTCCCTGCAGAGGTGGGACGACGAGCTGGCCGCCTTCGCCAAGGCCTACGCTCAGAAGTGCGTGTGGGGTCACAACAAAGAGCGCGGGCGGCGCGGAGAGAACTTGTTTGCCATCACGGGCGAGGGCATGGACGTGCCGCTGGCCGTGGGGAACTGGCACGAGGAGCACGCGCATTACAACCTCAGCACGGCCACCTGCGATCCGGGCCAGATGTGCGGCCACTACACTCAGGTGACAGCCTCGGCTGAGTGAGCTCCGGTGTGAGGTCTCCTGATGTTGCCTGAGGGCTGAGGAATCTAGACGTTGAGCTGGCCTCTGATTGTTGGACGAGCCTTGTGATGGAGTGGGGTCGGGGCGGGGCGGGGGCTCTTGATGTTGGGTATGACCAACCTGCACGATTGAGAAGGGACGGGTTGGGGTCACGTGTGTGGAAAGGGTCTGGACCTGGTTCAGTAGGGAGAGGGCTCCAGATGTTCTGATAAGCCGCGTGAGTGCTTGCGAACCTGAGTGCACGGTTTGGTCTGGACCTGGAGGTGAGGGGTGGGGCCACGTGCACCTCGGGTAGAGCAGGCTGGGCCCTCCTGGTGTTGGGTGGAGCCACCTGATCCGTGGGCGGGGCCGGCAGGATCTCTAGATGGGTAGAGCCACGTGCTGGGCCAGGTTGAGTGCTCCACTCAGAGCAGCCTCTCTTTAAACCGGTCCTTTACAGCTTCCTTAATAGTCTGCACAGCAGTTATCGCGCAGTCAAAGGCCACTCAAACTCATTTTTTTTCCCAAAAAGGCACATCTTTTGAAAGCCTAGGTCACTTGTTTTATCCTTCTGAGAAGAAGGAAGGTGTCACAACGCCTATTTCCCGAATGTAGTGATTGTCCTGGGTGACGGTGGTCCAGAGCTTTTGCCTCAGCCGCAGATGCCCCTCTCCCCTCACGTCCCCTTTCCTGCCACTGTCGCTCTTGGCACTTCCATCTCTAATTTGCTGTTTCTAATCTGCCAAACTGATAAAGCAAATAGACAAACTTGATTAATTTTTGCATTAGAAAAAAAAAACTGTTTAAAAGGGTGGGCGAGGGCTGGAGAGATGGCTCAGCGGTTAAGAGCACTGACTGCTCTTCCAGAGGTCCTGAGTTCGATTCCCAGCAACCCCATGGTGACTCACAACCATCTTTAAAGGGATCTGATGCTTCTGATGTGTCTGAAGACAGCTACAGTGTACTCACATACATTAAATAAATAAATAAATAAATAAATAAGAGGGCGGGCGAGATGGCCCAGTGGGTATGGGCAGTCGTCACCAAGCCTGACGGAGTGGTATTCCCTCGATCCCAATTTAAAAAAAAAAAAAAGTTTCTAAAAACACTGTGTAGGCAGAAAAGCACATGCTCACTGGAGAAAGGTTTCTGGAGCCTTCTGACAGTGTTTCTGGCCTCTCTCAGATAACCTTCGCTCTCCACTCAGTTCCGGATGCTTTTGGAAAGTTTAGTCTTGCGGAGTGACGCTAGCCTTGGTATTAAGGGATTGTTTTCTCTTCCCAATGCTTATTGTACAAACGATTACACCAGAAACCAAAAGGGGGAAAAACAGTCCCACCCTCATCCCTCCCTTTCATTTCCAGTGCCTTTTTGAGCTGGTATTTTTAGCCCTAATCTTAAGGAAATACAAGCACCCACCCAAGTTGGGAAGTTGAAGGTCCCAGCACCCTCCCTACTGGGATATCCCTGCCCCCCACCCCAGCCAACACCCTGCTGCCAGACTGAGCAAGCTATCTGTAGCTCTGTCCTAAGCTGGGAGCCATTTCTATCCCAAACTCACCTGGTCAGACAGGAATCTGAGCCTAGAAATTCAGGAAAACATGGCATCTCCACCCTGTGGCAGGGCACACATTTTTGGTTTGTTATTGTTCTGGTTAAGACAGGGTCTCACTAGGTAGCCTTGGCTGGCCTGGAACTTCCACAGAGATCTGCCTGCTTCTGCCTAGAGTGTTGGAATTAACAGTTCTGTTTTTGTATGTAGGAAGAAATTATTCTAGAAGCCCGGCCAAGCCCCAAAAGAGGCAGAACAAAGGCTTTCTAAGGTGTTAGTTGGAATAGGGCAAGTTTCAAAATAACTCCTCCTTGGACTTTCCTTGTGTCTGAAGCTCTTCACTGTCTCTGATCCTTTCCATAGACCTCCGGTTTAAAACCTTGTTTAGGGGCTGGAGAGATGGCTCAGGGGTTAAGAGCACTGACTGCTCTTCCAGAGGCCCTGGGTTCAATTCCCAGCAATCACATGGTGGCTCACAACCATCTGTAACGGGATCCGATGCCCTCTTCTGGTGTGTCTGAAGACAGCGACGGTGTACTCACATACAGAAAATGGATAAATAATTCATAAAACAAAACAAAAACTTGTACAAAGGGATCAAGCCGGTCGGAGGTGGCACACACCTTTGATCCCAGCACTCTGAATTGCAGGGGCTGGTGGATCTCTGCGAGTTCAGGCCAGCCTGGTCTACAGAGCAAGTTCCATGACAGCCAGAGCCACACAGAGAAACCCTGTCTTGAAAAACCTAAACCAAAGTAATGAACCAAATAACCAAAAAACCCTAAGGATCTCTAGAAAGAGGCTACGGGAGAGTGGACAGGGTGTATCAGAGGCTTGAGGCTGAGTGGAGACTGAAGGAGGCCTGGTGACTTTTGTGTTTGGCAGAGAGGGTAGACACTGTTGTCCCCTGCCTCTAACCCACATGAGCAAGCAGTTTTGATCTGAGGCTGTAGGGTCCTGTGGGGACGGACTGTGTCACCCTGCCCAGGGCTAACCTGCTGGGCTTTCCCTCCTTTAGGTAGTGTGGAGCAAGACTGAGAGGATCGGCTGTGGGTCCCACTTCTGCGAGACGCTCCAGGGAGTGGAGGAAGCTAACATCCAGTTGCTCGTGTGCAACTATGAGCCCCCGTAAGTACCGAGGGGCCGCATGCGTAGGGGAGGACGGATCTGGGCACAGCTCAAGGAAGCTATGGGCTGTTAATGTGGGCCCTGTCCCTTCTAGCAACTGTGATGGTCCCATAAGGGGTCTAATTTGGTTAGCCAGAGAAGGGGGGAGCCCATGTTCCCCGGGAAGCAACTCGTGGGGGACAGCAGCCCCGTGGGCTCCTGTGGATGGATCTGTTGTGCGTCTTGGGAACGTGGGGACCTGTAGGTAGGCGTAGGCCTTCCCTGCAGCAATGCCTTCTCATTTAGGGGGAACGTGAAGGGCCGTAAACCCTACCAGGAGGGGACTCCCTGCTCCCAGTGCCCTCTTGGCTACAGCTGCGAGAACTCTCTCTGTGGTGAGTGGCAGGATGAAGTGGGGTGGGGTGTCCTCCTCTACCCCTCTTCCCCCACTGGGTGACTTAAAGTCTCAGGACTCCCGCCCTGAGAAACAGGAGAAGGGCCTTCGGGATGCGATGGCGGAGACCCTCTGTGACTTTCTGCCTTCCTTACACAGTTACCTTGGCGACTTGTTAACTCCAAATGACAGATTTCAACCTTAAATCCCCACAGAGAATTGAGATCCAGCGGCCCTGGAGTGCTGTGCGAGGGGGCGTGGCCGAGAGGGTCGATCTGGTGGTGGGCGTGGTCTGTGGTCGAATGGGCGGGGCCTGCTAGGCAGTCCTCTAAGCGATGCTTGAACAAGGTGATGGGTGGAGGAGTTCGTTGTGTCAATGACAAGAAGTTACACTACCAGAAGGCGCACCCACTGCAGAGGAATATGGCTCGTGCATCCGGGTGGGATTTTGTGCGGCTGGGTGGGGTCCCGTTTGCAGCACTAATGCTTGGCCTTGCCAAACAGAGCCCATGAGAAACCCGGAAAAGGCGCAGGATTCGCCTCCAAGGGTGACCGAGGTCCCTTCCACCCGAGCAACTGAAACCCTAAGCTCCAGGGAAACCGCTACTTCATCCCTAGCAACCTCTGAGACTCTACATTTCTCCTCGGTAACAAAGGTCTCAGACTCCCCGGCAACCGAGTCCTCACCTACGGTAGAAACAAAGGCCGCATCTTCCTTAGCAACCGGAGGCCCCTCCTCCATGGCAACAGAGGCTCGGTCTTTTCTAACTGAGGTCCCCTCGGTTTCTGCAACGCACAAACAGCCCTCACTGGATGAAGGGCCGGTTAACTTTCTCACATCAACTCATATCCCCATCCCCAAATCTATGGACAAAGAAGCCAGCAAGTCGAGCGCAACCTCTGTGAGCCCAGAGAAATCCCTGCACCCCAAGATGTCCCTGACAGAGACAGGAGAGTCACTACCTCAAATCCAGGAGGAGGCTGAGCCCAAGGCCGAGTCGCCCGAGGCCGTGGCCAAGCTGCCTGAGGCCGAGTTGCCTGTTTCCAGTGAGGCTTCGGTTCCAGTTCTTCCAGTCCAGGAGCACGATGGACAGAAGGCCTCACTGGAACACTCGGGCCGTCCTGCCTCCACATCCCTACCCAACTTGCCTAGTGCCGCGGGTAATGCCACAGGTGGGCACACCCTGGCCCTACAGTCATCCTGGACAGGTAAGGCCCGAAGTCCTTATTTTTCCTTCCTGGCTCCAGAATGCTGGTGTCCTGTACTTGGAACCAGTGTTTGGGGCATGGTCAAGCATGCGCCATCTGGAAGATGCTTCCTCTCTCCCTGCCTGCCGCCTGCACCTTGCATGGAGTGAGCGGAGAGTCAGCCTGGGCTGTTTGCAAGCTGAGGTACAAACACCTTCCTTTCTGCAGGTGCAGAAGACCCTGAAAAGGCCAACTGGGATTTGAAGAATTCTGCTCATGTGTGGGGCCCTTTCCTGGAACTGCTGCTGCCTCCCCTGCTGTTGGCTGGCATATTCTGAGGGGGGACACCCGAAGGCCTGGTGAGGAGACGGCCCTCATGCCCATTCTGGATTCTTTTTCCAAACTAGAAGCCTAGAGCTTCTGGAGCAGGTCATGCTCTTCCTGTGCCCTCCCCTCTCCTCTCTGCCATGCAATGCCAGCACGTATGATACCCGCCCCCCCATGCTTCTTCCACGAGGGTGGGGGTGGGGTGCTGCCCTTGGTCAGCTGCAAGCTGTTCTGAGCAGTGTCCTAGTGGCCATTAGTTTCTGAAGGACAGAGGATCTTAGCCCTTCAACTCTTTCTTGAGTCATCTGAGGCAAGGAATATCTGAAGTACCTACTGCCTTCCCAGGGAGAAGAGGTCAGCTGCCCAACTGTGGTGTCCTGCTATCCTGTCCAACCTGGCTAAAGCCCCTCTGGAAGGGAAAGGCTGTGGGGTCATCAGTAACTGCACACCAGGGCCCTTCCTGTCCCTCACAGTGGAGTTCTCCCAAGGACACGATTGATTCTGAGGATACTTGTCTGCTCCACAGGGTGGGGTTGGGATTACTGTCTGCCTGCAGGCTGTAGGGCTCCCCATCTCTGAGTGCCCGTGTGGCTTGGATGGCAGACCTTTGGGTAAAGTAAAGAACAAGCCCCAACCAAGTGGGGTTCTGTGGGTTGGGGAGACAGGGAGCAGGGAATGGAGACAGCCTTGACTCCTGAATAAAACCTGTCTGAGAGCCCCGACTCAGTGCTCTGCATGAGGTGAAGCGGTGTGAGAAAGCTGGTCTGCCCACCCATCTTCTCTCTTCCTCTCCCCATCCCCCATCTCCCATCCCCCATCCCCCAGCTCTCAGAGCCATCCCTTCCCTTCTGGTAACCTCCACTCCACTCAAGCCCCAGGTAGCCTTGCAGGAAGGAGAAAAGAGCAGAAGGAAGGACCGGAAGTTATCAGTGGGACTTACCTCAGTGGCTTTGGGGGTTGGGAACATTCCCACAAGGGGACTGATGCTCAGGCCTGTCCTGGGCACACGTTTCAAGGTTTGGGGCAACTTCGGTCCTTCAAAGGAGCCCTGAGACAGAGCCCCAGGGCACAGAAACTTCTCTGGGGACCGGAGAAGAGTGGTCCAGAAGTGGGTCAGAAACACAAGGAACAAGAAGTAAGACCTAGGAAGGGGTCTTGGCCAGGCTAGTACAACAAGGATACTCCTCTCAATAAAGACAGTCACCCATTTAAACTGTACAACTTAGGGCCACTGAAAAGGCTCATGGGTAAAGGCAAGTAGTTCTCCAACCTCTATTCACGTGCAATGGCATACATGGACAGTGTCCCCAGCATCTTTATTTGAGTGTACTTAGTGTTTGCTTTGAGATCAAGTCTCCAGGTAGCCCTGGCTGTCCTGGAACACTCTATGTAGGCCAGGCTGGCCTCCAACTCAGAGATCCACCTGTTTCTCCTCATAAAGGCTGGGATTAAACGTGTACACCACCACACCAGGCTGAAAAAAACAAAACACTGAAGCATACAACTCAATGTTTTGGAGATGTATTTATTTAGTGTCTGTAGGGCCGGGGTAAGCAGAGTGGCATGCACACAGAGGTGAGCAAGCCTGCAGGGATAGCTCTTCTCCCATGCATGTTCTGGGGGTCAAACTCAGGTTGTCAGGCTTGGTGGCAAGTGCCGTTACTGAGCCAACTGGCCAGCCCCAACTTGATGTATTTTAGTATATTCATTTGGGGACTGTGTAGCTATCCCTAATACCAACAGTGGACTTTTTCATTACCGTAGAGGCACCTCACCCACTGGTACCCGCTCCCACACACCCCTTTCAGGCTAAAACAACTTAGATCTATTTTTCTATATGTATGTTCATTTCCTACTCCTTTCTTGTTTTTTGGCCGGGGGGGGGGGGGGGAAGGGGAGGCGGAGCTCATGCCACTACACTTGTGGAGATTGGAGAATGGGAGGCGGAGCTCATGCCACTACACTTGTGGAGATTGGAGGACCTCCTCTCCCTCCACCATACAGGTCAGGGTTGATAACAAACACCTTCGCCCGCTGAGCCATTTCACGGACCCTCATTTGCTGGTCTTTGACTTTCATCTAAATCCTTCACAAAGATGTTTCGTGACGAGCTAACATATCTTCAAGGCCCACCCATCCTGTAGCATGAATGTTCTCTTTACTGCAAAGTCACGCTGTGCCTATGAGCTTGTGTGCTGTGCGCATGCATGCCTGCGCAGGTACAGGCCGGCCAGAGGCCAGTCTCTGGCATCACCTCGCTTTTGTGAGATGCTGTCTCTCACCGATGCTGGGGCTCAGTTTGCCTAGGATGGTCCAATGAGCTTCAGGGATCTGTCTCCACATCCCACCCATCGCTGCACCCAATGCTGGGGTTACAGGCCTGTATCACTCTACCCAGCTTTGATGTGGGTGCTAGATCGAACTCAGGTCCTCCTGCTTGAGTGGCAAGCATTTTCCTTCTCCCCGGACCCCAGCTGTTGAGGTCTTTTTCTTTTCCTTCCTTCCTTCCTTCCTTCCTTCCTTCCTTCCTTCCTTCCTTCCTTCCTTCCTTCCTTTCTCTTTCTTTCTTTCTTTCTTTCTTTCTTTCTTTCTTTCTTTCTTTCTTTTCTTTTCTTTTCTTTTCTTTTCTTTTCTTTTTCCGAGACAGAGTTTCTCTGTGTAGCCCTGGCTGTCCTCGAACTCACTCTGTAGACCAGGCTGGGCTCAAACTGAGAAATCCACTTGCCTCTTCCCTCCCAAATGCTGGGATTAAAGGCTTGCGCCACCATTGCCCAGCCGAGGTCTTTTTTCGTGGTCATTTTGTTCCTTGTCTGGTAAAAGATTTTATTGTGAAAGTGTGTTGACTTTTCTCAAAGGCCTTTTCTGTCCCGATTGAGATGGTCATGTGATTAGAGTGTATGACATTAACTGACCTTCAGATGCTAAAGCAACTGCATCCCTGGGAAGGTCCGTTCTCTTGAGCTAGTGTGTTGGGCCCGAGTGGTCAGGGATGGGGGCCTCTGGGCCAAGCCTATCCCAGTTTCCCTGTGTCTCTTCCTCTTAGCCAACAAGGGCATCTGCTGGCAGTCTGCAGATCTGTCCTGTGAATGTGCCAGGAGTATGGGATCAGGGAGATGTCAAGAGCACGGGCACTAACAGATGGGCAGGGAGGGGGACCTGCCAGCAAAGCGGAACTATGATCAATAGAAGATAGAGGCTGCTATCCAGAGGCCTTGAGGACCTGAAAGTCTTTCCTGACACTGTAGCTGTGGCTTCTGAGCATTTTGGCGACTGGCAGTGACAAGGAGGGACAGCTCGGGCTATCACTGTCTCCTTATCAAAAAGCCTCAAAAGACTTGCCATAGGCCTTTCAGACTTTCCCTAAGACTAAGGTTACCCATGAGGGAAGTCACTGGTTCCCTCGAGATAGCTCAGCTCCTTCCCTGCTCAAGACTAAACCTCTTAACAGATAAGAGGCTAATACCTGGGAACAGCAGGGCCTCATGTTGGACAGTCAGACCAATCAAAGCCTTCCACTTTAGGACCTCTTACAAACCAATGGGAGGACATGGCTCAGGGGCAGAGGCATCTCTTTAGGGACAGCTAAACTCTGCTCAGTTGTGAAATACAAGTGTCCCTAAACCTGGGGGTCACTGGAAGGAACAGTACAAAGACAGGATTTGAGGGAGCATAGGGAGAAAAGTTACCCCAGGCGGGGTAACTTTGGCGGGGGTAATGTGGCGGGGGTATAGTAGGCTGGCATCCTCTGGACATTGGTCTGGATGATGTAAGCCTGGCCTGCTCACAATGTGGGCAACTTCCCAGAGTGCAGCTTCCTGCGGTGAGGCTCTTTAGCATAGGAGAGAGGAACTAAACAGGAGGGCACAAAGGCCCACCACTGTTTATCTGCACAGGGTCCACCAAGCCTCTCATGCTGGGCATGAGAGACATAAGGTAAAACTGGACCATTCTTCCCTAATCCCTGTCAGTAGACTACTGGGAAATAAGACTACCAAAGCCTTCCTCCTGGGGAATGAAAAACCACCAAACTGCAACTCTTTCAGGGCCCCTGCAGAGATGACCAACAGTAGGGGAGGACCAGCCTCTGCTTGGAGAGGGGTTCTGAGAGGAGTGTCTGGGAACAGGGAAATCAAATCCTGAGTCCAAGCTGACAGTCTCTCTGCTAGAGACAGCTTTCCAGTCTGCTTTCTCTCTCTCTCTCTCTCTCTCTCTCTCTCTCTCTCTCTCTCTCTCTTTCTCTCTCTCTCTCTGATCTACTTTCTCTGGAGATCTCTAGATAGCTACCCTCCTCTGTGTTCTGCTCAAGACAATTCTCCCTTGCTGTTCTAAAAACTTTCTCCGGATAGCTCATCTCTTGCAGACGGTAAGTCCAGTCACTCCAGGTTTCCTTTCGATTATCTAAGGAATCAGCATCCGGAACCCCGGCTGCTGAATTCTCAGGAGACAGCATACACACATTTTCTCTTAACATTGTAAAAGAGTTCAGAGATCTGCCTGCCTCTGTTAAGCACAGAAAAGCTGTGTGGACCCAGTCATTAAATTACCATCTCTACCAGACCTGAGCCTGGACTCACTGTGTCCCAGGCTGACCTTGAACTCAGGAACCGGCTTGCCTTTGTATCTTTCTGACATGCTGGCTCATCAATGCACCTGCCCTTGCTCCTTTAGATTCGTGAAGGCCCTCATACTGCATCCTTATTTTTTGCATAGTTGAAAAATTATGTTTTTATATATGCTTTCAGAGTTCTTTTCCACAGCCTTGAGGGCTGTCCTGAAAGTCCCAGCATTTACCATTTAGCTGAGACGTTAGCCAACACCTTTGCTTCCCAGACTCACGCTGTCTCTGATTATCATGGAGTCTTATGAACGCTACCAGGGAGGACATTCCTTAGAGGAGGAGTGCGAATACGTACATTATTATACAGACAAGATTTATGCGCATGGTGGCCATCACTCCTGGAGGCCCACCTCCCGCTGGTCCTGTCCCAAGGGCAAGGACCACGTCATTCTGTCTCCACCAAGACCCAGCAACTAGGTCTGTCAGGTCACACATTATGCCCGTCAGAAGATGGTTGGCCACTTCACTTCCTTCTGCTACAGCGATGTGTCTGTCTGCTGTGGCGAAAGGTTCTGGAGGCCTGGAGAGTCATCTTCAAAAGGTGGTAAGGTGCCACCTGGCAGCCTAGGTGGGACTCTGAAACAGCTGCCATTTCTGTGGCAGAAGGCTCGAGTGCCAGTTGCTGCTCTGTGAAGAGGCACTTAGGCTCAACCCCAAGGACAAAGGACTCAACCATGTCACACTCCTTGGCCCCGGCTGGCCACCCACAGACCTGAGAAACCAGCACAGGGTCTGGCGGAACTCACAAAAATAAGAGGCTCCCAAAAAATCCAAATCACCACCAATACATTTATTTGAGGAGATAGGTCTATCTTACCACGAGGGGAGGACTAGGTGTCGGCCTATGGAACCTGTGCGTATTCACACACAGCCCAGGTGACTGACCTCACACCTGGTGACACCACCACAGACAAGCGGATGAGGGGGAGATTCTGAGGAGTCACATGATTTCCTAATCAGGAGAAGGCACCACCCTTGTATTAGAAAAGTAGTGTTTCGAACAACCAGCCTCCCAGCAAGGCCCAGGCATGATGGTGCCCTATTTACAAAGCAGGAGAGGGTGTGCTTCCGGCTGATTGGCAGGATGAGCCGGGCTG